CAGCTACTACTGCTGCTGCTGCTACCGCAACCTACTAGTACCACCACGACTACGACTACGACTGACACTACCACTACTACTACTACTACTACTACTACTACTACTACTACTCCTACTACGACGACGACGACGACTACTAATAACAACAACATTACATAAGGACAATAATTGACAATAATATTAACAGTAATAGTGATATAACACAAGTTGCTGTTATTCGATTTACGACGGTGAGACCGTTTCCACGCCATCAACATGACCACCTTACCACCGCGCCGACAACGGCTTACAACTACCACGAGCATGATCATCGACATCCAGATCAGCTTTTCTGTTTCTGTCATGTTCCTGTTACAAGAGATCATGCGAGGATGCCATCACGGGGCCGCGGCTAACAGAAGTTCTAGCCGGCAGGGAGCGCTGGCCTCGGCCAACCTGTCAGTTTGCTTGGTCCACGGCTGTCGAGTTCTGACCCGGCTTTGGCTGGCAGGTCGTCGCCGATACACCCGTCGATCCTCGCATCAGAAGGATCAGAAGGCTGCCCGCAGCTGGTTATGCAGCATCTCTTGTTGGTCGGTGCGTAGGCTCCGTGTTCGGAATCTGTCGTGTTCAAGTTGAGAGATTCCCTTAAAAACATAGCTTGCCAGGACTCTCCCGATCTGAGGGCGTCACGGTGATTCTGGAGGGAGGCCAGGTCTGCGCTTTGAGAGTCTCTTAGAGCCTTGCTGGGGCAACAGGGAAAGGGCCCACGAAGTTTCACTTGCAGGTCACTCGCGCGGGCACGAAGATTCGCAGATGGTAGTAGTGTTAGTAGTACCTTCGGTTTAGTTGGTACGAATTGATGGGAGGCTTCTTGCCGGTCTCACATGTGAGCCTCGTCATGCCAGGTCTCCAGTACACCGGCCAGTGGAAGGGCGACATTCGGGAAGGTGCAGTTCAAAAGCGTGGCCCATGGGTCGACCATTCCCGAACTCTAAACTCTAAGCCCTAAACAATTCGGCATTGCCTGAGGAGAGTGTAACACTAAAGCCGCGAGAAACAACGGATTCTGTGGGAATACGGCCTGTTCCGCCCAACCCGTTTCGCCTCGCACCCGACCCGGCGGAATAATTGGAGAAAGTCCCAGGGCTTCAGGATGCGATGTTTTCACAAGTTGGCGCAGGCTAGGCACGGATGTCAATCTCCACACCTGGCTGAATCGAACTCATGCGTGGAACCTCGAGTGCTGCATCCGCAACAATAGTTCTGAAGAGGTCCAAGCTTGCGAAGAATTTAGCACCATCAGGCAAACTATTTCCGCCAGCTTGAGGGCATAGGTGTGAAGCAGGTGCCAAGTCTCCGCTGAAGCCATTCGAAACCCAAATGACCCCAATGTAAACCCTGAACTTTAACTGCCACCACCTCCCTCCGGACACAGGGGTGGGTATCCTGCTCCGCCCAGATGGCAACCGCTATGAGGGGCAGCGAGCTGGCAGGATATCTTTCGGCTGAGAAGTTTGCAGCTGTCGGGGTTTTGGCTTGGCTGCATCGCCCAATTTTGCGGGGTATCTTGCAGCGAGTAAGACGGAGCTCGGGGATAACATTTGGAACATAATCCTTGCAGCTCGCGATTTTGTTGCCCGAGATGAGGTTTCAGAACGACATGGCGCAACTCAGCTGCATGACTTGCGACTTCCTCAGTCAGCAACCAGACACCACATGTTGTCTGTACGTTGAAGGCATGGAAATGGCCGTTTAGAAACCGCCACTGGCGATGTCTACGACGGGGAGTGGCTCCAAGACAAGGCAGGGAAACTTTCTGCATTGAGGCTCTGGGTTGGAGAATAATGCAAAAGCTGGCTCTGGGGTGCTTGCCTGGCGGTATTTGAGCTTGCATCACAGACTCTATGTTCCGGATGTTGCGCGATCTCGGTACGCAAAAGCTTCGGATGCCCCTGCCGGAAGATTGTTGTTCAGCAGTCCCAAGCCGTACAGTAATTCAGGCACTGGCCTCTTGGCAAGGTTGCCAGGCGATGCAGAGGCAAGTAAGCCACTACCATTGTGTAGTAGGCTCGGGCTGGAGGCTGGGGTGCGCGCTGTATCCGTACTTTCGATGGGTCGTTCAGATGTGGCCACTTTACGTTAGAACTCGCTTGTAGCCCGGTAAAACAACTTGCGTTTCTGCCAGGCTCACGGATTTGGTCGTCTTATCCAGAAGTCCGGACGAAGCTCCGTGCCGACACACCGGGTCGACAGAGAGGGTTCAGGGACAAGGGCGCCCAATCTTTTCGCGCTTGATTGTGATTAGAGTTCACACTCGGCTTGCTTTGAGCGGAGAGGCGAGGAACGAGTGTTTGGAGTGTGGGGTGGTGGACGTCCGCTGAATCCGACATGGTGCATTCTCTCTCCTTGCAGAATTCCCAGGCTACGAGGGACAGTGGGAGGCTGATCTTCAACACGGCTACGGCACCTCAGCTTTCAGTCGTAGGTGCACTTCATGGGTAGCTTTCACCCTCGTGGGTTATGAAGCAGACATTTGACCAAACTGACCTTGTGTGGGCCCGTTACTTCAGATTGTACCTCCTGCGGTTGGGGCACGAGGCATCTAACGGATCCTGTGAAGGTATTAGTCGTGACTCAGTGAGTCATTGGAAGCTTGCAGTGCAAGATCGAGGAAAGGGTGAGCTTCGCACACTTGAGTCTGAAGGATCCCCTGGTAACGCTGCCGTCTCGAGGCGTTGAACAATGGATGGATGGCTCCCACTACGAGGGGCTACATGGCTGGAAAGCTACCCCAAATCTCTAGCCCCGTGGTTCTTCGGCGCAGCTCATGCCGGGACACTGAGGTCTTATGCTCACAATTTCAAGCATGGGCAAGGCTGGGTGGGGCGAAGCAGAGTGTCGTGAGACAGGCGAGCCAGTGCTGGAAAATAGTCGAACGATGTATGTGCAAAAAATTCTCCACCCGTTTGACTTAAGGCTGACCTTTGTGCTTTCTGTAGCTTCCCGCTTTCCAGCTGGAAGCACAATGACAAGTTAAATTGCATGAAAGTCAGCTCAGAGTTGCCAGGCTAAAAAGGTTTAGCACGTGGGGAGCTAGCGTAGGAGACAGCCAGTCCAAAATCTAAGAATTTACATTCCTCCGCACGCTCCTAAGCGGGTCCCCCCCCAGAATAAAAACTGATCTTACTTCAAGAAGGCTAGAGGACACTCGGCAGGCTCATTATGGACCCCTTCGTTGCACCGTAGGCACTTTTACCTGGGCAGCCGGATCCTCGTACACGGGGACCTTTGAAGAGGTGCAGGGGCCGTTCGCCTTGCCTGGAGGGCAAATGGGTATGTAGGCTTCCTGGTGGAAGTGTCCGTACCTCCCACTCAGAAATTTTTATCGACCATGGCCGAGAGGACGAAATACACGGCGTCGGCCATTACCAGTGGGCAGATGGACGGACCTACACTGGACAGTGGCAGCACAACTGCTGCCATGGCAGCGAAGCTTTATTGGCGACTAGGTCATTAGGTGACGCAGGGAGCTCGTTGTACAGATTGCTTACACCTACCATGAACGCGAAGAGCAGCAGGATGCAAACAGGAAGTCAGAATGGACTGCTGAACGCTACGACACGAGGGTGCGACCTTCAAATCCCTTGACTTGAATGCGCCGTCGTGCGGTCCAGCGACCTCCAGAACCCAAACTGCTGATGAAGAGAGAGGGAGAGCAAGCAAGCAAGCCAGCCAGCCAGCAAGCAAGCCAG